CGTTTTTAAATTAACGATTCCATAATTTGCAAGATAAAAGCAATTTAGCGAAAGCACTGGTTGTGAGGTGTTTTGTATTCGTTCCCTATTTTTTAAACTAAATTTTATCGAAACAGTCAGAAAAAATATTTGACAGGAAATTGGCTTATAGTGCATTGGTGTTTTTTCCTCGAACGAACGTAATGAGAAAATTGCATGTTTGAAAATACCATTATCGTCAATAGTATTGATGACGCATGATACGTGTACTTTTACAATTAGATGTGACTGACAGTCAACACTGGAAGTGTGAAATGAAACTTGTGAAGAATGGCTATTACTTGCTCGTTGTTTGATGAAATGACCGAGTGAAACTCTTTTCGATGTATGGTTACTGATAATGATACTGATAATTGTATGGTTACTTCACCGTTTCTCATATTTTCTTTTGTTATTTTATGTACTAAGCATTAGGAAGGAACTGTTACAGGTGGGTATTGAATTCGTAATGATTAAGGATCAGTGATTTTGATTTATGGTGAGCAGAGCTTTATCGGTTTATGAGCGATGATAGATGGATGTGTTGAGTGAGAAGCGAGGATTAGGATTGCAGGCGCTGGATGTTATCAGCAAGGATATCGTTATTGTTTTCGTTGTTATTGCTATTAATCTCCTCATCTTTTAATATTGATAATAGTAACATCAATCAATATCAGTGGTAATGATACCAATAATGTTAAAATTATTCACTCATAATAACGTTTCTCTCAATACTGTTTTAACAGATTTGTGAATGGAGTGATACTTGATAGTTCAAGTTGGGTTGAAGTGTTTGTTCAGTCGCGTTAATCGTTATTAAGAACGGGTAATTTCTTATTTTTGAGCAATTAATCATTGCTTTCACAACAATTCTTCCCATAATCGTGCATATGTCATGGTGGTTGCAAGGTGAATCAGGACTTTCATCTGCATAAGTTGCCATAATATTTGATGGCATAATAAGAGGCTGGAATCCTTGAAATGCATGCAAAACGTTTGCATCGAACGAACTGTATGGTATGATCAATTGAAGTGCTAATATCTGATTACTGAACGTTATTGCCATAACAATACGACTGAACCGTTGATTAGTAAATGGTGTTCGATATTATTATTATTACTGTTGTTAGTGTTGATATTTTTTAATGCAGTGACAATAGCAATATAATGTGGCATTGCATGCGTTCGCTTTTAATGATTGATATTGAGTCAATTTTTGGTTACTGTCGATATTAGGTGGAGTACGAGGACTACTATCATTGTTACTATTAGGATGGCATGTGTTTGTGTGCAAATATTACATTTGCCGACTTTGTTGATAGTGCTTGTTAATTTTCATTTGTTATATGAATGAGATTATGATGTTGTTCGTCATTCGATTATCGTTCGGTTTTGTTGAGTTGTATTGTATTAGGTGCGATGGTGGTGGTGTATCACCATTTATTTCTGCTTATGTAACGAACCTTTGAATTTGTCCGACTGAATTTCCCCTAGTTTATGAGCTCGTTTTCAGTTATTCATCGTACATAGCGTTGTATCTGATGGATGAAATCAGTGAAAATATTTGCCTGTTAGCTAAATTTTTTCACATTTCTTTCATTAAGCGTTTAGTGCAAGAAATTGCGCAGTTCCTGCAAGGGTTTTTTCCGTTTTACTTTTTCCGTTTCCGTTATAATTGCTGCTTTTTTTAT